TCATTCTTTCTACATGACCAAACCACCGAAGCATTCCTTTTTTTAAAAGAACAGAAAAAATTGTATTTCTTAAATATAATAATTTATTCGTATTTGTTAATTATAAACTTTAATTTGTGTATTTACAATATAATATGATGTAGGTATATTTTTTTCAACATAAACCTAAAGTTTTCGACACTTTACATATAATGCCTAAAACCAGTTTGCGCACAACATCCTTATCTATAAGGGGGATGCAAATATAAACTCAGTTGAAAAATAAATACTCGGTTGCATTATTTCTCCGTAATTCCTAATAAATGCTAAATTAAATGTAAAAAAATTTTTGTAACTAAAATTTTGGAAGCTGTTAACGGAATAAACAAAGGGGACATTGCCAACATTTTGTATGTATAAATTGTCCATTTGTTAATTGTTTATTATTCATTATTTTCAGCACTGAAAAATCCACTGCTGGATATGTCATGACAGTGAAGATTGTCCGTAAACCTCACGTTTATCAGACGATTCGGCGGTTACCGGAAATTACGCATCTTTACCACAGTACCGGAAGTTATGCACCTTTAACGCAACTCCACTTTGCTTCATATTCCTGGCTTTAATGTTATGCACTGGTATTTACACAATCATGTTACGTGGTAGAGCCACGCTGTTGCTTTATAATGACTGTAGCACGAATAGGCCAGCTCGGTAAGAGAAGGATCGCACTTACAGAATATCACCGTAAAATTAGCATTATGTTATGATTTTCTTACATTGTGTAAGTGTTAATGGCCTATAGCATTCACTTTTAAAGAAGGTGGGAACAAAAGAATACACAGTCCACCTGATTGTAAGTGAATGCTAAGGGGCAAGACATCCACGTCTATCCTCGATTGGGAATCAAAATGCAGACAGGCTGTCACTCAAAAAAAAACGACTAAGATGGGACGCCTCGCCTCCAGTAAGGGTCTCCGGTTTTTGATATTTTTATATGAATTATGATTGATTATTCGATATGAACTACATTGAGCTGCTATTTCACACTAATATTATCAGAGAGCGCGGTCTCTTCTAGGTGGCGCTACAACTATAAAACAACCGTAGTATGGCTCTACTATGTGTTTGTAAAAACATTATATTGTTTTAGTTGCTGCAAGACTCAACCCGAATATATGTGTATGCATATCCCCATAATAAGAAGGAGTTGTTTATGACAATAGTCGAATGCCTGATAAGAACGCAAGACGTTATAGTTTCACAATCCATGTTCTTAGCCACAGTCACAGACTACAGTCGCTTAATTCAGATTCCAAATCCAGATTAGGCGATAGTTTCTCTTACGGCCATATGAGGGCTAATAATCTTCCACTCACCAGATGTCGCTATTTGTGACTGATGTAAAGTTTTTGTTACACAATGTCAGTTAATTGAGAAATTAGTTTTAAATAATATTTTATAATTATCTAGAGCATTATATTAATACACAAGACAATGCGTCAGTGGTTTGATTTTTAATTTTTTGCACTTTATAGCTCTTTTTAAAAAAATCGTCTTATATTTATATTTATAGTTTGGTTTATTCATGCAAACTATAAACTAAACTTTTTTATTAATTGCATTCTAATGCAATTAATAAAAAATATAACTAATAAATCAGAAAGAAACCTTAAAGATTACATTTTCCTAAGAAATTATCGTCCCCGCTATGCAATCTGTCAAATATTTTACCTCACTGTAAAGTGGCGCCACCATGGTGGCAGAAAAAGTCGTGCATTCCCTCATTACTGCCACCTAATTGAATTATTTTGTCGGAAATCCGCCACCTTATCCGATTCGACCTTTTACGCATGAGCTGTTGCGAAAACATAAAGACACACCGGTATTGCCTAAATACGTGTAATGTCAAGGGAACATCGTGATAGGATATTGTATTCGATTGTTCTCTATAACGAATATCTAGATTATAGTTAAAGTTATATTATAATTGTAATTGATACTATGTGAAAGAGGCGTGGTTTTTCTGGATCGTGCCAAATGGAAGTCCTAGTCTCTGTCTAACTCTCTGATTGACAGACGTGAGATATGGTGTATGATAACATACTAAATATCTATTATTATGTTTTCATTAACTAACTACCGTATAGTGACCTTGTATTATTATCCACTTCTCCATAACGCTACACTATGGCAAATATCCTAAATCTATATATATAAATATTTATGTGTGGTAGAGCCATGCTGCAGCTATATTAATAGTATAGTTGTAGCACGAATGGGTCGGCTCGACCGGGGAAGGACCACGCTGTCACAGAATACCACCGTAAAATTGCAACTTAATACTGCTGTGTTTCGTAGGGTGGGTGTAGAGAACCGGAGACCCTTTTTACTGGAAACGAGGCATTCCATCTTAGTCCTCATAGGTGGCAACGCATCTGCATTTTGATTCGCAAACGAGGATAGATGTAGATGTATATGGGCCACAGCAACCACTTATCATCAGATGGACTGTGTGCTCGTTTGTCACCCTTATTCTATACAAAATCATGTAAGAGAAAAGAGATGCTGCAGAAGAGAGACAGAAGTTTTTTGATAAAAATTGGTTATATTTTGTAGAAGAGTGAAATTAAAAATACACTTAATTTACAAAGTCAAAGCTTGGTCCGTTGTTCTCTGGGATTCCATTTATTAAAAAAACTAGCGATCCGCCCCGGTTTCGCACGGGTGATTTCTGGATCTCGACAACAGCTCCACCTACCGGGTACAATTGTGAATTTAAACCGTTCTCGAATTAACTTAATCACACACACAAAATTTCATCAAAATCGTTTAGGAGGAGTTCAGTCGCATACAAATGGACAGAATACCCCTATCCCTTTTATTAAAGTCGGAATAATTATTGATGTTATTTGACATAACAGATTGTCATTTCAAGTGTCTGTTTGTAATGTCAAAATAACAGCTTTTTACTAAATGCATATGAAAGTATTTACGGTCCTACATATACCAAAAAAAAAACAATTTTAAAATTTTTGTCTATCTGTCTGTTTGTTCCGGCTAATCTCTTAAACGGCTGGACCGTTTTTGACGGAATTTTTACTGGCAGATAGCTGATGTTATAAGAAGTAGCTCATGCTACTTTTATTTTAGTAAAAGAATAAAGTTCCGCACGAAAAAATTAAAACCCATGAAATCCAATCGTAACAAATTCCACGTGGGTGAAGTCGCGGGGAACAGCTAGTTATAGTATATATGTACTCTCGTATTAACATTGAGGTTTTTGCATTAAATCAGTATGGTACATTATGCCTAATTTTTATAAGGTTGTAACAAAAAATACACCGAGTAAGTCAAGGATAAATGCGTGACCGTAAACTGGATCAACGCTGACAAAAACTATTACGTTTTAACTTTTTTTTCTGGTTGGTATCAGGCTAATACGGAAAATTAGTTTAAATGACTCAGACTGTTTTGCATCCATTTTTGAAGAACAGTTTTATTATACACCTGCTACTGCTTTTGCTACGGTTTTGCGTGATAATAGCCAAAGCAAGTAAGGTGTGGAAAGTAGTACTTCACTCTGTTCAATATTGGAAAAAATATTTGTTATAATATAATCTAGCTTTTCAAATTGTATGACTGTGGAGGGAAAGAAGTATCGTTTTTTTTTTACTAAATCATACGAATGAAGTGACAGCTTAAGGAAAATATGTGGTAGAGCCACTCTGCAGCTACATTATTGCTGTCGCAAAATAGCAACTTCATGCTGCTGCGTTTCGTATGGTGAATGTAGAGAAACGGAGATACTTTTTACTTTAAATGTGGCTTTATTTTCTTATTCAAGAAAAGATATAGTTTTTTATGGGCCATGCTGCAGCTATATTATTTGTAGTTATATATAGGTTGTAGAACGAATGGGTCGGCTCGACCGGTGTGGGTCAAAGCTCTCACAGAATACCAGCATAAAATAGCAGCTTAATGCTGCTGTGTTTCGTATGGTAAGTGTAGAGAACGTAGGTGAGCGTGCTCATTTCTTGACCTTATTCTATAAAAAAAAAACTTAACATCACTTGTACGGCAAGCTTAGGTGTCACCCTTATTCTATAAAAAATAAAACACAAGATTGTCGCGACAAATACGCTTTTCTATACTCATACTTACTTCTGTCACTAAATAGCAGTTCACGAACTGCTGTGTTCTGGTGTGAAGGGTATAGAAAACCAGAATAATTATGGGCAAGACTGTAAAAAATAGAGTCAAATTGGACCATGCTGCCCAGGAATGATCCAAGCCGCAAACTGGCCAAAATAATGATTCAGAAGCTCTTTTTTCAGTTTATTTCCAAATATTTTCTCTTCTGTAAATTAACATCCCAAAATCCCAAAATGTACATTAAATTTTTTTGAATAACTTCACGTTTTTATGTGTTGGAACATTCCACCCAACACGGTCCGGTCCAATTGAAAACATCCGTTCCCGAATCCCGAAGGGTAACCAACGGGACCCTATTACTAAGCCTTCACTGTCCGTCCATCCGTCCATCAGTCTGTACGTCCGTCTGTCTGTAAATGGTAGACAGTTGAAATTTTTACAGAATATGTATTTCTGTTGCCGCTATAACAACAAATAATAAAAATTAAAAATTAAAAGGGGCCACCCTACTAGAAATGTGTATTACGATGGTACGGAGCTCTTCATGCGTGACTTGACACTCGCAATATAAGCAGAAAAAATTAAGAACCTTCACACTTCACAACATCAAAAGTTGGAAATCAACTGCTTCATATGATATACATTGCTGATAATTTTAACTTATGACTCGGGAAGATCGAAAAATAATTGATAAATATGATTTAATTTTATGTACTGTCTGATTGATTTAATAGCCCAAAAGTTAAAAAAATACACATTAACAATATCATTCGCAAGAATCGAACTCAGGTTGCCCCTGAGCTACTACAGTTTTCTTTTTTTTTATTCTAATATCAGACATAATACCTTATTATTACAGAAGCAGGATGTCACCGGCAGCGTCGTTTGCCAAACGATGGGCCCACGATAACCTGACCCGGGAGCCCACCCCGGACGAACTAACCGTTTTGGAATTGTTCTCTATTACTTGTGAAGGAGATGAGGAAGAAGCAGCTAAAAGAGCGCGGCGATACTACAAAGCTCGAGGACCAGGTGGATTGACGGAACTGTGGCACAAAAGATATCCTGATGACGAGGATATTCTGTCGAGTTGTCAAGATGCGTGAGTACTATATCTGGCTGTAGACCGAAAGACATATATTTCAGTAACCATTGTCACTATCACTATAACTTATTATTATTCCACTTAACTTACTTCAACTTTAACACTTACCCCATAGATTTCTTGTATTTCATTTGTATACCAAGTATGTATATTATTTATATTGAACCACCTTCAGTATCATTTCTTTACGCCCTTGGTTGCCTGGAAAATTATAGGCTTAAATAATTTGCTTTTAATGTATTCTGTATTCGTTTATTTTGTGTTGATCAACATACAACATTTCATTCATTAAACGAGTCATCCATTTATTGCCATAGAGTAAGGTCATAACGTGGTAGAGCCATGGTGCAGATACATTACTGGTATAGTTGTAGCACGAATGGGTCGGCTCGACAGGGGAAGGACCACGCTCTCACAGAATACCAGCGTAAAATAGCAGCTAACGCTGCTGTGTTTCGTATGATGAATGTAGAGAACCGAAGACCCTTCTTACAGGAAATAAGGCATTCCATCTTAGTCCTCACGGCTGACAACGCATCTGCATTTTGATTCGCAAATGAAGATAGATGTAAATGTCTATAAGCCACAGCAACCACTTACCATCAGGTGGACTGTTTGCTCGTTTTTTTACCCTTATCATATAAAAAATAAGACTACCTGCGACGAATGTTGTTAGTTGACAGACCTACGGAACTGAAACGTAATTTTTCACTCCTAGCCGTTTGAGGAAGCTCAAAGTCACTCATCGTGCGATTGTATGGAATATGCTCGGAATATAATTAGGATATCCACAAAAAAAAACAAGAGTATATTACATAGCTAAGTGGATCATTAAGCTTAAGTGGCAATAGCTCGACCAAATAGCTGGAAGAAGGGTCCTCAAGGCATGTCAGACGGATTGACAATGGCAGTACCAGATGTTACAGCACCTTTGACGTTGCTGTCCATCGCTGGATTGCGTATTTTACTTCTGACGTAATGGTGGTGGTATACCACCATCTACAGATATAGATATAAGCGTCAGATATAAGGGAACAATCAAGGTGTTCAAATATTTTGAAATAGCCAAAGTGATCATAAATATTCTACCATACATAGTAGCCAAATTATAGAGAACATCAGTCTTTCTCAAATATATCGAAACACATACCACATCAAATGTATGAGTTTATTTAAACCGTTAACAGTTATAGTAACAAACAGAACACCAATGGTATCCAAGCAGCTAAAGTATTAAAAAATCTGGAACACTTCAGGAAAATATACCGATATCATAGGGTTAAAATTCTCTTTCTTTGAGTTTTTTTTTTATATGGATATCGATAGTTGTGCCAAAAAACCAAATTAATTATCACATCAAAATTCTAAGAGCTTTTAAAATAACAAGTAAAATATAATACATGATTTTTATTTTTATACTATTGTATTATACTGTTAAAATGCAAATAAAGCACGGGCACTTTCAACGCTGAGGTAAAATAATTTAATTTACAATCATCCATAAAAAGATTTTCAAATAATAAATTGGGCAAAACACGAGTGTGTTAAACCACTTCGAAAGTCATAATAAATCATCGCTCTTGAATTTTCTCGAGTCAATTCCATTTTCTCAACGACTAAACAAGTTTGATAAAACCTAGTGACAAGACAGAGAATCTTTTTTTTTTTAAATAAATGGTATTCGATTTTTAAAACAAAAGGGGTTTTCAATTAAAAAGATTTTAATATGACAGGAACAGTGGAAATATTCTATACCCGATACTTTTAGTGCAGCCTATGTATCAATGACATCATGTTCGATGTAAGGCTTACGTAGAACATTATTTAATCTGTGGTAATGGTTATTACTGAAAGGAACATTAATAATTTAACATGAAGTAAAATTTATATTTTTGTAATAAAACTTATAGAAAAAAATGGAACCCTATTGTATTAAGATAAGTTATATTTACTGTTGTGTCCCGCATTTTCGAATACTTTAGCTGCCTCGCTACCATAAAAGTTTTCTTTGTTACTTTATTATGGACTGTTTGACTGAAACCATATATTTGTCGCTGTATATTTTCCGATATATTTAAGCAAGATTGGTGATTACTTTGGATGGTTGAATATTAATGATCACTTTGGATGTTTCTAAATATTTGATCACCTTGCCTGCTATCTTCCTTTTGACGCTGACTGTACCATACGAGATATATCTTTCTGAAATTTAAAGACACCCACGAGAGGTAATGGGGTAATGGTTTTCTTTACTCCGCCTCAATAAAGCAAGCACCGCCACCACACTTTTCCCTAACATTATTCTTAGAAATTTGGATATAAAATTTTCATCAAATTCATCATCAGATGCTCGCTAGACTCTTGTTTTTAATTAGCTAGTACCACGTGCATGCAAGCCGGCATTTGAAGCTAACTTTTCCCGTTAGATGGAAACTGGCCAGCAAATGATCCTATTAAAAAACAATACGATTAAATTACTATTAGTTTAAATCTAGTGCTTCACTACCGTTTATCACCAGGTAAGATTGTACTTAAGCGCTGGCTTACAATAACAAACAAAAATTTCAAAGAATCCAAACAATAAGAAGCGTCGTAACACGTGTGATATTCGTTATTTGGCATTACTCATTGGCAATGAAGCATCTCACCTTCCTTAGTATTCAGAGCTTCCAATACATTATCACACATGCGCATTACTACACATGCACATTACTCATACACATATCTACTTAGCTTTTAAAGATTATTGTAATCATTTTAACAAAAGGACTATTGGAATGAACTGAATGACTGCCGAGACACTAAACTTGTCTTTGTCCACAGATGGGAAGGTCTCTCATAAACTAAAAAGTTTGTCGTAATCACCAATAGAGATAAAAACATTGATTTTTTCTGTACTGACACTGAGTTACTAACACTTTAAACACTAGTTCTCATTACCCGATGAACTATAAAATTATTATTAACTAAGTCCCAAAATATATTAGAATAAATAGCACTATGGCGAAATTGTGGCTCTTACTATGTGGTTCACTGCTGGCAGAAATGAGAATATCCGTAGTAGAACCAGAGTTACCGAAATAGCGCAACGGATTAGTAAGCTGAAGAGGCAATGGGCCGGCCATATAGCTCGAAAGACCGACAACCGATGGGGAAAAAGGTTCTCGAGTGGCGTACTCCTACCGGCGGACGAAGTGTAGGGTGTCACCCCACTAGATGGAGTGACGACCTGGTTAGACATTCAGGAAGTCGATGGAGACAGGTGGCTCAGGAATATGCTTTGTGGCATTCCTTGGGGAAGGCCTATGTTCGTCAGTGGACTTGTGAAGTACTGTAATAATGATGATGATTATATGGTTAGTATAATTACAATGCTGTATGCATTCTATTCCGCCTTAGACCTAAAAAATAACAACATACTGTTTGTGTTTTTGTATTGATTAGAGGTGGCGAAACGCTACACTTAATTGTCTTTACTAGTTACCATATTAAATGCCATAAACAATTTTATCTTGCGTGTCTTTATTTAACCCTATTATTTTACAAATACATGGCAGGTGTTTAAACGGCTTGTCAGGAATCAAACTTTAGCTTTAACTGAAGATACAATTTTTTTCTTTATGTACCTTAAAATCTGTGGTCCAGTTTTGAACGAAAATTAATACAATCTATGTCAACTTTCAGATACATCGTTCCACTACGAGTCCGTAGTGTTGGTGGTCGCCGCATGACGCTGGTCAGACTTCCAGCTCCCACAGCTTTAGACAGACCATTATCTGCCCGAGCGTTACTGGCGAGATGGCTGATGATTTTAGATATAAGGTAAATGTTTTTATTATTTAAACATTTAAAATGTATATTTGTTTGTGCACGCCAATCTTCACAAGCAATTCCATGTAATTTCTAATATTGAATTGAGATGTGTGATAGTCTTGGTTAACATTGTTTGTTTTATTTAGTTCTGCTAGTAAAAAAGATATTTCAATTTCAACGTCCATAACTCACGCGCTTGACGATATGTGAGCGTGCACAATAAGTCGGAAGGAAAAGCATTGCACGCCCGCTTCATCGACATACGTTAATCAAATGATTTGATATTATACGTCTTCGAATAGTTTAGTCTAAGAATTGGGTAAAGTGTAATCCTTTTCAAAAGTAGAAGAAGAATAAGATACCATCATCATCATTATTACAGCCCTTCACAAGTCCACTGCTGAACATAGGCCTCCCCCAAAGAATGCCGCAAAGCACGGTCCTGACCCACCTGCATCCATCGACTTCCTGCATATCTTACTTCCCCATCGGTCGTCGGTTCTTCGAGCTATATGCGCCCATTGCCACTTCAACTTACTAATCCGTTGGGCTATGTCGGTCACTCTGGTTCTACTGCGGATATCCTCATTATAGAAGAAGATATAGACAATCACTTTTTCATGTGATTTTCATTTATAATGTTTGCCGTGTGGTGGTACGTAAGAGACCCGTAACATTCATTCAGTCAAACATTTCCCATTGCGTGGTGTCGTAAAAGGCGAGCATGGGATGTGTCAAAGCGGTATAACCATTACATTCCATCCAAAAGATACCCAGACTTACGACTGGAGGCAGCGTAATTTTTTTATAGAATAAGGGTAACAAGCGAGCACACAATCCACCTGATGGTAAGTGGTTGCTGTGGCCGATAGACATCTACATGAAACAAAATGCAGATGCGTTGTCACCCATGAGGACTAAGATGGAAAATCTCGTTTCCAGTGAAAAGGGTCTCCGATTCTCTACACTCACCATACGAAACATAGCAGCATTAAGCTGCTATTTTACGCTGGTATTCTGTGAGAGCTTGGTCCTTCCCCGGTCGAGCCGACCCATTCGTGCTACAACTATACCAGTAATATAACTGTAGCATGGCTCTACCACGTATAAAAAGTGAAAGTGAGATTTCTGATTCTGCGTTTGTCAATCCGTTGTTACAATTAAAGTAAATCCTCCCTACAACGTGGGACAACCCTGTCTAGCAGTAGATTTTACGGGCTTATGGAGAAGAAGAAGAAGAAAGAAGAATGTTTGTGTTATTTTCTTAGTTGGCGTTGGTTGAGTTCGATTGCCGATTTTGCGTTACGTTATGAACACAAATCAAACGCAGGCCGATGTGGATATGACTATCAGCGTTTAACAATTGACACGGATATCCTCTTATTTCTGAGAGGGTTATGGAAGAATTTGTTCACCGCGCTGCTCCAGTGCCTGTTTTATCTTATTTTATTTTATATTTAATTATATTATTTTATAATAATATATTATTTAGGGAGCTTACAGCTTATTTAACAACATTTACAATCTAGATCACTATATTAAAACTTATGTGCCATTATAAAACTTCCACATATAGGCCGAATACATTCACAACAAATTACTCAGACACACTAATTACGAAATTTATTGTAAAAGTGGATTTAACGCTCGTAGTACTATCACAGAATAAATCTAAATCGTTGTTTCCAGAATACTTATTAAATAACCTCAAAGCTCTTGATATAAAACTATTACTTCTATAATTTGTATAACAAGTTGGAACATGGAGTAATACATTTTTGCGTAGTTTTTTAACAGAGGCTCTTAGTCAGATTTTACTGAGAAACTCCGGACAATCCATTTTATTTTATGCGATTTTTATTTTTTTCAATGTTGTTTACATAAAGGACAATACATAGTTTATATAAATGTCAATATAAAGTATGTTTGAACTTATGAAATCGCAGACACAGCAAGTAACAAATATGTTCAATGGTTATTATTATTAATATGATTCTTCTAATGACAATAATAATCCTGGACGTCAATAGATAACTAAATGTAGACAAATTCCAAATTGAATATTGCCGAAAATCAATTTGTTTTAGTAGTGAATGTCGGATCGATTCTGTTTACTTCAGTGGCTCGACGACTCAAGTGTATTTGCGCCGTTTTCCACGTGTTTATCACATCGCCTCATCTACATTTTGATCATTCATTTTTTTCTTGTCAAATTCACTCAAATGAAATCATTTATTTGAATTATTACATATGTATAGTAAATTTTTTATAGTTAAATTTTATTATACATAACATAATATACAATATTTTATTATATACAATATGAAAAACTATAATAATAATAAAAAAACTAAAACTAGTAACTTAATTATCATATAGTCCTACTCCCCGCGGTATCGTGCCAAGAACGCTGGCTGCGTTTCCCCGCTGAATGCCTATACTTAGCCTTTGAGCGAGTAAAGAACCAGCTCTCTTATCACCAGCAGCAATGACCAACCGCGGATGGAGTTCCTTTGGAACTTAACCGCACGTGGTCTCTACAGCAAATGGCACAAATATTTAGTCATCTCTCAGAGATTCATATTTGCGCCACTTACTCAGTTCAGCTGCCTCTGATGCCGCCACGGCTCTAAACGACGTATCCCTGAGATGAGAGGCCGCCAGAGTGTCTACGCAAGTGGCATCCCACACTAGGGCTGTACCTCTCTCCCAAGGGACCAATGTCATACCGTCGGGTATCCTGCCATCGTCTCTAAATATTCCACAAGGCTCTAAAACCGAGGGAATATTTATAGAGACAAGAGCCCTTCGGATGAAATAGTTTCCCATTCCCACGTTTAATCCTCACAGATCTGATCCGTTTGAGCTGTGGCTTGCTCTGGTTCTACTGCGGAGTGTGAAGCGTGTAATAGAAATAAATATGTTTAACGCTTCTAAGTTAAATTCGATTCGAAAATTCAATTTCCAAAACCGATACAAGTTAACAAAGACAACAATGGCACCTTGTTTTCTTTGAACGCGCTGTTTGCTTTTGAGTCACGCTTCTTTTATGTTAAATTTTGAGAAGAAAGAAACTTGCGTTTAACAATATCCGTGTTTATTAAGATATATTTGTTCATATTAACAGCTGCTGGTAATATTTTCTTTTTGTTTACCTAATGTTTCTTATTTTTACACATTGATAATATTTTATTTTTGTTTTCTCTATATAAAACAAAGTCATTTTCCGCCGTCTGTACGCTTAGATCTTTTAAAATGCGCAACAAATTTTGATGTGGCTTTCATAAGTAGCCAGAATTATTCAACAGAAAGGTTTATATGTATAATGTAAGTCATTTCAATTCTTCTGTCGGTGTGTATGTGACTGAGCTCATCCTAAACGAATGTACCTTGATGAAATTTTGTGTGTGTGTGATGTGTGGATTAGATTCACGATTGCACCCGGTAGACGGTGTTGTTGTCGAGATCCAGAAATCAAAAGTATGAAGCCGGTACGGATCGCTAGTTATATTTATACCACTTACCACCATTTTGGGATGCAAGAGAAATCGGAAAGATTTCTATGGGAGGCACAATGCGGATTTAGACCTGGAAGAGGATGCACGGATCAAATGTTTTCTCTCCGCATAATCACGGAAAAGCTTCTGGCTGCTAACCAGAAGATTTTCTGTGCTTTTGTGGATCTTGAGAAAGCATTTGATAAGGTTGTAAGGAAGAAAGTGTGGGAACTGCTGCCGGGGTATGGTGTGGGGGTGCTAAGGGCTGTGCAGTCACTTTACTGTGACTGTAAAGCCTGTGTGCGGGTAGGGCATGACCTGTCACCCATGTTTAGCGTCCAAACGGGCGTAAAACAGGGTTGTGTTGTGTCTTCCTGGTACAACACAACCCTGTTCATACTGTATCTCGACAGCTGTTTACAGAAGCTGAAAGATAGCTGTTTGGGTGTGAAATTGTGTGACATAAAAGTAAATTGTCTGCTGTATGCTGATGATGCAGTGCTTATTGCACCATCAGAGGCAGAACTGCAGGCATTAGTCACGTGTGTGAAAGAGGAATGTGAAATTAAAGGTCTCCGTTTGAATGCTAATAAAACTAAGGTTCTGGTATTTGAAAGGGACGAAGAGAGAACGAAGTGTGAAATATGGGTAAATCAGGAATGTCTAGAACAGGTAAATGTAATTGTATACTTGGGGAGTGCATTTAGCCGGGGTGGAAGATGTGATTTAGATGTGGACAGGCGTGTCGCTGCCGGGAACAAAGTCAATGGTGTCCTGATTGCGTTAGTCAAAAGGCAAGGCGTAGTGAAGAGTGCACGCCTTGCAATACATAACGCAGTGTTGGTACCGACTTTGTTATATGGCAGCGAAACCTGGGTATGCCAGAAGAAGCATAAAAGCAAGTTGAATGCAGTGGAGATGCGATATCTTCGTAAAATGTGCGGCGTTACCATGGCCGACCGAAAGCGAAACGAAGAGATTCGCAATATGGCAGGTTTGAAAGATGACCTTATCACAAAAATTTATAAGGGCGTGCTTCGATGGTTTGGGCACGTTGAGCGAATGAGTGAAGACCGAATGGTGAAGAAAATATATAGCGCGAAAGTAAATATTAAAAGGTGTCGAGGTAGACCGAGACTAACTTTCGAAGACCATGTGAGCAAATTGCTCGAAGAGGGGAGGGTCAAGAGTACTCGGATACCTAGACGTGCATGTATGAAGAAGAAGATGAATCTGAAAGAAGCGAAAGAGGTATGTAAGGATCGTGACACTTGGCGATCTGTTTTCTCTGGTTACCCCGTCAGGGATTGTGCGTGAAGATAAGTAGTACCATTTTGGGTTGTGGTTAAGTACTGCCATCTATCCGTAACAGCTTATATAAGAACTTAAAATGGGGAAACTCCTACGCATACCCGCATCGCGGGAGGAAGGACGGGTTATGTCGGACTTGCACCGACTAAAACCCCATGGTGTTCCACCTTCGCCACATATTGGCAGATCCATGGGAATGCTTTCGCACACATCAGCGGCCCTACCAGCGCTGACCGCTACATGGCGGCTTCTCCTTGGGAAAGGACTACTCCTCCCCGTCTCTTTCTCAGGTAAAGTGCACCACAACACATGGCGCGTCTTCTTCCACGGCCTCCAACTGCACCTGCACAATGGACGCCCTCGTGTCCATTGCACGAAGAACATGAGGCCAGGAATAACGAGCACACCTTGCTACTACGAGCGAACCTTACTGACTCCAGCGGCGGATCTGATCTATGGCTTCTCTTCGCCTCTCAATACTGACGATCCTCTCCCCCCGCAGCCCCACCACCCCCACCACCACCATCAACGGTGCGGCCCCATCAGAGTCGCGGAGGATAGGGCCAGTGGCGCATCGCCATACCAACACTCCTCTCCCCCCACGACTCCACCTCGGCTACAAATCCACAGTGGTAGAGGGAGAGGATACTCATCTCGCTGCATCCCACCAACACACATCTGAAGTGGGATCACCAAGCCTACTTGGAGTGGCCAATTCGGGCGAGCCCTTCACCTCGGGCCAGCCATGCGTGTTCCTCTTTGTTCACCGCGATTGAACAAGCCACGGCTACTAAGCCCCCACGGCATGACAAGTCGTGAACCTGGGGGGGGGGGGGCGGTTTGACTTCCGCAGATTTTTATAATTTAGAGCTGCTGTCTGAAAGATGCTACTGCCGATATCTTGTTTCATAGAGTAGAGGATATTTTTACATTGCCGCTACACGGTTACGATACGGCACTGTCTCTTATTAAGTAAAAAGAAGCACTAGGAAAATTTCCATCAATATTAAAAAGTTGATGAGATTTGATTGCCAATTACAATTACAGTTATAAACTTATACACTTATACATTCACTCTACTACGTTATCTGTGTACAATGTGTTGATGGTGGTGATAATAATGATGATAATAAGATGATGCTTTCAAAGCCAATTTTAACATCCAAAACCATTCTCAGATTACGGGAGGATCCAACCCCGGGCGAAGAAGTTGTATTCATTGACGTAAGTGATTTGCAACCATCGCATTTGAAGAACCATTTCAGGGGCAACTACTGGAAGGATTTTGTCTGGTGTATGAGGGTAAGTAAAACACTTTTTGTTCTGACGTAAACGAGAAACTTTAAAATTGTCACCTATAATGGAACCACACGGGTTGGTTTACTGGATTTTATTTTCGTACACACCATCTGAATTATTGGCGGTCAACCACCGTACATTTTTCCAGAACATTTTATGCTGGTACGACTTCTCAAGGATTTTTCCGTAGTTATGTAACTCAGGGACCTGCAAAAAGCGCCTACTCTTTTCTCAAAGGCCGCTAATGCGTCTTTCATTCCTCCCTCCTTTGTTCCATCTTCTATAACAAAACCTTAAGACTAAATTATAGCATTTAATTGTGGGCACACTCTCAAAATAAAAAAGGTCCAAGCGTGAAATATTTATTTCAATATTTTGCTTTAGAGAGAGCATAGTAACTTTACATGTTACTCGAACTATCCCAAGCAGCACACAAGCGTTATGAACATCAATATACCAGCCCACATAGAACTTAGAGTTCTTTCAAATATACGTATAAGAATGTTGAAAAGAGGTATATATAAGGATTTCTAACAGTGGTTTATGAGTTATTATACAGCTCAAGCTGTATAAAGTCTGTATTATGGGATCTAAGTAAGCTTAGGGTTCTTAATCAGAATATGAAATCTCTAGTATATAACTTTAATAGTATATAACTGTATAGTATAGTAACTTTAAGTATTTTGTAACACTTCAATCTGATTTTTGCACGCTGTCCCTTGCTTATACAACTCTAAGTGTTATTATAGTATCACTATAATCTTATTTCTGGACAATGATGTATGCAAACTCTCTTCTAAAACGTATTTTTATGGTGTCATTGAACACTTTTGTAATTACAGTAGTTTTATGACTTCTGTCTATGAGAGTGATATAAAACTAAAAAGTAAATGGCAGCCATAGTACAACTTAAATCTGTATAAGTGACAGAATATCGCCATTTTGCATGCGCTGCGCGTTTATATTGTGCTAATGAACAAAATTAATTTGTTATCAATATCTGGCAAAAAAGAAAAAGATTTGGTGCAATACAAAGACCATGTTAAATCTAAATTAAATTTATTGAACACTATTTCCAAGACAACATTTTTCATCTTTTATACTTATATCTAAAGTGAGTTATATATTATGTTAAAATAAACTGCTATACAGTGTAAGTCATAAAAATATCCTATTATAGAACTGACTACTCGTAAAAACCAATAGTTGCATGATATAATCCATAACATATATAGTACAACTAAGACTATAAGACTAAAATTTAGCAAATTGTCGGCATTTTAAGACCCATAGAAACAAAATTAAAAATATAAATTGGGGAATATTTTTAATTTTGTTTCTATGGGTCTTAAAATGCCGACAATTTGCTAAATTTTAGTCTTATAGTCTTAGTTGTACTATATATGTTATGGATTATATCATGCAACTATTGGTTTTTAGTCATTTTAGACATTAGTCTTAGCCTATATATTATTATTTCAGTTAGACTAATGATCACTGCGTCCAAATGTGCCACCATATCCATTAATTATTATTTTTTATTCTAACCTATACAACTGATATTTAGTTACCGTGTTTAGTATTTTGTCCTTATTTTCTTATTTTGCTGGCGCGGCAATTTTTCGTTAGAAAACATGTACAAGTTTACCATAAATCTAATTTCGCACGTTCAATTCACTAATTATTATCGTCAAACTCAATTCGAATTTAAATATAATATTAATATGTTAAATATATGTACATAGGTACATTAAATGTTCCCATCATTCCATAAATGTTATTTTGTTTTATATTCATAAAATTGGTAAGATTTGCAGGAAGTCGATGGATGCAGGTGGCTCGGGACCGTGCTTTGTGGCATTCTTTGGGGGAGGCCTATGTTCAGCAGTGGACTTGTGAAGGGCTGTAATGATGATGATGATGATTCATTTGTAAACCCATTCAAAAACAAATTTAGAACGTTTGTCTTTATAAGTTACTTATCACTAAGACAATATTTTTAGTGTAACAAGCCTTTTTTATGCTTGTACAGCTACTGTACAACGCTACTAACGCGTAAAGCTGCATAATTTGTGCCAATGTTTTAATTATAAGAACTGTATAAGCGCTTGTACAGATTTTATACAGCCAGAAAATACAGCTTCTGGTATAAAAACGAACTTCATTACAGCTCGTATACAACTTGCATGCTGCTTGGGATATGTTTGTCATGTTTTCATAGTTTTTTACGACCATATGAAAGTGACAAACATGCTCGTAGCCCACTTGATTACGACACAGAGTAACTATGGGTGTTATAAAGTAAAATGAAGTTATTTGAACGTGTAGTATTAAATATGATATCATTTTAAGTAATTTTGACGGCTCCGTGGCATAGTGGTTTAGCAAAAGTTACGGCACTGAGGACCGCGGGTTCGAATACCGCACAGAACAAGTATTTTTATGAGCTAAAAGTAATTGTACCGGGTCTAGATGTATGTTCTTGTGCCATTTATGTATGTAAAGTGCCTCCAGGATACAGAAGCAAACCTTTGTATGGGATTTACGTGTCATTTTTATTAATAAAATAAGGATGACAAACGAGCACACAGTCCACTTGATGGTGAGTGGATGCTGTAGACCAAGCAGCAACAATCAAAATGAAGATGTCATCACTGAGGACGAAAATGTAATACCCCATTTCCTGTAAAAAGGATATCCGGTTCTGTACACTCACCGTACGAATCATAGCAGTATTATGCTGCTATTTGACGCTGGTATTTTATGAGACCCTAGTCGAGCCGACCTATTACAACCTACATACCTCAAAGCGTGTTGGCGAACTTAACATGTCTGCGAAATATAACTGCAGCGTTGCTCTACCACGTATAAATCTTAAATAATCATTTTAAATAAATTAAAATGGTATGTTATAGCTGTGACTCATAGTCAGATACATTTATCCTCGATAAAGAATCAAACAAAAAATAGCCTTTAGCGCTCACTGTAAATTTAACAGTACGCGGGCAATCCGCGTTCGATCCAAGCCAGCACCAATGAAATTTTCAATTGCAATTTTAAGTGTTGATTTACCGCGTGCTCGGCGAGGAAGGAAAACATCGTGAGAAAACCTGCATGTCTGAGAAATAAAAAAAAATTTCGCAGTCATGTTAAGTTCGCCAACACACTTTGGGGCAGCGCGGCGGACATTTCCTTGCCCTAAAACCCCCTCAGAGATGAGGGGAAACCTGTGCCCAGCAGTGGTACGTATCTATGCTGTAACTTTAAAGAATCAAACTACTCGAAGTGTTGTCACCTCTGTTGCCTCTCAATCTTGTTACCCATAAATAAGGTTTCCAGGTCTTTTATCTTACCATACAACATAACAGCAGCCGTTATTTTACATTGGTATTTTGTGAGAATGTAGTTCTTGTCCTGTCGAGCTAAATCATTCGCGCTATAGCCATAATTTAACTGAAGCATGGCGCCATAGCGTGGAAAATATAAAAAAATATTTTTGTAACGAAGTTCCCTTTCGGACGGTACGTATTTGGCGGATTGGGGCTAGGCGAGAAAAAGTGCAAGATTTTTCCGTCACTACCCTTTCTGAGGTAGTGTAGACGGCCTTGACGGCTATGACGAGGCAAGATGGACTAATATCCATCTCCCTCGTACTTTTTCTTATCTCGGCATGAAAGAAATATTATTTAATTTTTAATGACGCTACATTTTAATAGACGCTAGTAATTCATTTATTTGTATTTATTAATCAATAATGTAATGCGTTTATCAATAATAATAAGGTACGTGAGGGTAATATGGTCATCTTAAGCTTTGACGCCCTATAAACCCAAAACTAGGAAGAGGACAGAGACAAACACACAATATCGTATACTATAACTAATATAGAAAAAAAATAACAAACAAGCCTTGGCAATAATTAGCAACACTTCGATAAATCAAATAAAAAAAAACTAATCATAGTACGTGAGGGTAATATGGTCATCCGGTTAATATTGTCACTTCTTATAACTCAAAAACTACAGCGTCGTTTGCATAGAACGCTCTGTGATACGATAGCTCTTCATCAGTCAATCAAATAATAAAGGGTCAAAAAGGCACTCCTTTATCGACACCATTTTGACAGTTGATATTATTGTAAATATTTTAGTCGATTTTTGTACTGTGTAGCGTAGTTAGTTTTTTTAAGTAGATTTTTCTAAGTGTTTCTAATCATTGCCAAAGCTTGTTTGCTATTTTTTTTCTTATATTAGTTATAGTATACGACTTTGTGTATTTGTCTCTGTTCTCCTCTTAATTTTGGTTTTATAGGCCAATAAAGCTTAAGATGACCCTCACGTACTTACAATAATATCAACTGTCAAAATGGCGTCAATGAAGCGGCGCACTTTTGACCCTTTATTATTTGAATGACTGATGAGGAGCTATCGTATCACAAAGCCATTTATGCCAATAAAGCTGTAGTTTTTGAGTTATAAGCAAGTGACTATATTAACCGGATGACCATATTACCCTCCGATCTATATATTACGAAAGGAACTTCGTTCCAACCGAGTGTTTCACTACACTCACGCATGTTTTTTTTTATTCTTTTAAACAAGCAAGGAAATTGCGACATTGCCAAAAAGTTAATTAAAAAATTAAATTTTTTATAGCCTGTGTCACTTCCACAAGACTAAGACGAATCTTACGACTCCCTATATATTAAAGTCCATCAATCTACTTAGGCTATAGAGCGTGCCAAAAAACATTTCACTAGAAATTACCCCCGCATTGACACGACAGCTTACATACATAGATAGCACATGGATCAAACACATCATGATCCGAGCAGGATTCGATCCCACGTCGAGCAACCAAATGCCTAGCCACAGCTCTACAGTGCCGTAATACTTAATACATATTTTGTTATTGCAGACAGCATATCCACTGAGATTCTCCGAAGTCCATATAATTAACACGCAGCGTCTGAAAACTATGTCCTTATTACTTCTACACGTCGGCCTTTATCCGTGGCGACGCAAGGTCGTGCAGTTACATTCAAGCTCTGAAGAAATTAACCATATAATGGGCGTTGATTACTTTCCACCGGAAGGCTTACCACATGAATACGGTGGAAAGGCTGGCGCTATGAAAGATCTGAATGGTAAGAAAAGTGATTATGTATATTACACTATTTGGTACAATTAGTTGTATATATATTACAACTATATGGTGGTTCTGCACAGGACAGAGATACCTCTGTCCTGTGCAGAACCACCAAGCTACCCACTGGATTCATTAAATGGTTTACATATACTATAATATTGCAACAATTATTGCAAATTGTAAGTAGCATATTATGTACAATATAGGCAAGACAAAAAGAAAAGCATTGACTTCTGTAACACCGGCTTTCCCAGCACAAGAGTCAGAGATGTTTGCACATTTAGAAGAATTGTAAAAAGAGTGATTTGTGTGATTAGTGTCAATAAATTATTATTATTATTAGTATTTATATTAGACAATGACTGACTTGTATGTACGACGAATAGTATGTAACTAGATGGTAGGATTTATTTATATCGCACAGCCAATACTGTGATGCATTATATTTATGTAGGTTCTTTAGAATGATAATGGCCTTCTTTAGAATGATAATAAACTCAGAACTGTGTTTTTAGTTGGTTGGTTATTAATGTCTGTACGTGGTCGAGTTACTCTGTATTATGGCTGCTATTGCAGCCATAATACAGAGTAACGTCAACGTAAAGTCGAATGGGTCGACTCAAACGGTGAAGGACTACAGTCTCACACACTACCAGAGTAAAATAGCAGCTTTATGCTGCTGTGTTTTGTATAGTGAGTATAAAGAAACGGAGTCCCCTTTTACTAGTAATCAGGCATTCCATTTAATTCCTCAGTGGTGACAAATCATCTACATTTTTATTCTTAATCGAGTGTAGATGTAGATGTCTATGGATCTTTCTCTGCATCCACTTACAATCAGGTGGACACACCTGATACACCGGTACACGGTTTGTAATCCGGGTCTGCTTCTCTTAACACTCACCATATGAAACACAGCAGCATTAAGCTACTATTTCACGCTGGTATTTTGTGAGAACATGGTCCTTCCGCGGTCGAGCCGACCCATTTCTGCTACAATCATAATATAGCTGCAGCGTGACTCTACCACGTTTGTATGACCTGATTTATCAGACAGATTTCAAACGGGAAAAAATTAACGTGCTGCTCTAATACGCGTTGATAATCTTCACACATTCTTAAATTATTTTGTTTGACATACAGTTTTTATGACGATATTTCCCTCTTTTGTAGAGTACGTGGTAATTCAGCCCACAAATTAATTTGGTGCTGGCGCGGAACGTACTCGATGTACTCGCGTACAATAAAATTCATGGCTAATGCCTCTACAGGACTTCCCTGGTTCTTGTTTGATTTTTAGGTTGTAGTTTATTTAATTATTTTATATTTTTACACTTTCGGTAATCTTCTGGCTTCGTATTTTATTTTCACCCAATTGTCTTTGTACTTATAGATGAATGGACAAAGAAACTGCTATCAAACTCCTGCTGGCTTCAGTTAGAAGAACGTAAATACTATGAAACGGAGCTGACTCCGGAGGTACGCATACGGACGCGACATCGAAGTGCCGTACGAAACCTTCGCGGAGCCATCGGTTCTTATGACGTGATCACGAGGACCCACTCCTGTAAATCGCTAAATAGGCATGATGATATCGACGAGGGAGCCCATGGTGCTTATAGAACTCTGAAAGTGACATCTGACAGAAATTTGTATGTGTAACGGATTCATCGTTGCTACACCAATGTTACTTCTTAAATTCTGTGATAAAATAATGTAGGTGAAATAATGAATCTTTTTAGTGCTTCAATTGTGTGACAAAAAATTCTTACGTCTAGATATTTAATTAAAATATATGCCGAAATAGTATTTCAATCATAAAACAGTTGTTATTTTGACAATATATGCTGTCTATATTCTAATGTTATTACGTCTTACTGACTTTCTTTTTCCACCTTATGAGGCAATCTATGGGGGAGAACTATACTGAGCAGTGGTCTTTTATAGGCTGTTATGGATGGATGGACTTTCTTTTTAATAATCTTGACATCAAATACTACGTCTGTATAACTACTTACAGATTACATTAAGACCCTGAGTTAGAGGGTATAATAGTGTGTGACCCACACTATGCCGCTGCTCAAACAGACTCTCTTATATCTGAGAGGGTCTGGGTCTGGTTTTGAATGAAGTTGTAGTCTAATGCATGAACGGACTTCATATATACTCAGAATGATTTCTTATATTTACGCGAACACTACACATTGGATAAAACTATTTTTTTACGGATTTTATCGCGTTTAATTAACTTATTTTATATTTCCGACGTTTGTTTTCCAGCAACCATGGTCACGGTGACCATGGTTGCTAGAAAGCAACCGAAACGTCGGGAATATAAAATAAGTTAATTTGACCATGGTTGCTGGAAAGCAACCGAAACGTCGGGAATATAAAATAAGTTAATTAAACGCGATAAAATCCGTAAAAAAGTAGTTTTATCCTCAAAAATTTATTTTTATTAATAAGAAATGCAGATTTTCAAAGGTTTTGATTTGGTAAATTAGAACTTGAACAACTTTAATAAGTCGTTGAATTGTCTTGAGAATGGTTTGTTACATTGCAGTGTCTACCAAGTCATCGCACGACTGCATACTGACGGATTTATGCCCAAAATAACAATTCCTGATCTCTAATATACTCATTATCTCTGAAGTACATAATTTAAATTTAATTTCATTGTTTTACATAGCACAAATATCGTCAAGTTTATGGATTAATACATATCGTCTTGTATTTTTGTAATACTCGTATAACGTTGACATACCACTGAAATAACATATGCAAAAAAAGTTTTTTTTTTTTAAATAAACTAAGCTAAGATATCCCTGAAAATGTGCAGCGGTAATTTACGCCAGGCCTGCTTCTTAACCTGTATAAAGCATAAACCGGTAGATCCCACCTGCTTACCGATTTCTGCCAAACAGTGTTTGTGTGTGTTTTGCTATTTGGCGACCAAAATAGGTAGCCGTGGGTAGTAGTACTTGGGTAACCACTTACTGTTAGATTGTCTGTAAGTTCGTTTATCATTTTCATTTTATAAAAACAAACATTCTTCTTCATATGTCAACCTTACTTGCATGAGGTACATCCAGCTAATAAACAATTGAGGCTCTAGCGACGGACTAATTGGGGTATATCCATTCAAAACTAACAAACACATTTAACGTGATGGAATACTAACCGTCGCTCCGATACAGGATAGTCAGCATGGATTTTTTTAAGTTATGGGGGACAGATGGCTCAATCAAGAAAAGGTATATACAGTGAATTTTATATTAATATAATATAGCCCTTCACCAAATACATGGATTCTTTTACTTACGAAGTTTCATTTTGTCTACTACATGTAAAATATTTATTAGTTACAATATTGTGTTAATTTTAGGAAAACAAAATGCTGTGTATAATACATTTTGTAAATAAAGTGATTGCTACTTATACTTTTCTTATCTATATTTCCCCTTTTTTTTTCATTATCAGCCCGTACTCCTTTTTAATTACTTTAATAGTGAATTGTAAATTGTCTGTCAAGTAGATACCGCTATTACATGACGCCCTTCCGACAGCAACGGGAGGATATGGTGTAGAGAATTATCTTTTTCTGCTACTGCATGCTACCAAGCGGAATTTACATGTATATATATTTCGACACCTACAAGACAAAATGGTGTAATTTATTTTCTTTAGACCGCCACCATAAACGTTTCAAAAAGCAACATAATGCAAACGAGCACAAAGTCCACCTTGTGGTATGTGGATGCTGTTTTCCCATAGAATCTAATTCTAGTTCTAAAGATATCTATGGTCAGTGCTATTAAACGCAGGTTCGGCTCCCGTTAATATTAATATGGTAATTATTTATATGGTCTAATATTTTTAATATCCCTTCAATGGGGCAGGGGTGCGAAAAATCTCCCAGAGTAAAACCGGTAACTAGTTTCGCCAACTGTCATGTTCTATCTCCCAGAAGGACGAAAAGTGAAATGACTACGCTAAATGTATGTGGAGCAATGAATGATAAGACAGATAAAGAAACAAATGATGAGGTATGGAAAATGAGGTGTGATAGAGGAATAGATGTGTTATGTCATGTCATGCCATGCGTAGACGGATTACTTGGTCTTAAGCTGAATTAGTGGTCTGTTAAGATGTTGGCGGCACCGGAAATCTGTGTCTATAGAAAGGTTACAATATGAAGGTGTGATAGAGAAGTATAAATGTAGACTGAGGGAAAATAATAGTAGTTAGGATGAATTGTTTATGAATGATTTAGACTTGGAGATTATGTGGGATCATGTTAAGATAGGTTTGGCGGATGCAGCAAACGAAGTATGTGGTATAATAAGTAAGAGAACCAATGAAAGGAAAATAGTACGTTATGGTGTGTTAACGGGTGGGTTGATGACCCTTACTAAGGATAGAAATGAAAAGAGCATGGCTACATTTAATAGCAACCAATGTTGGTAATTCTAGCGGTATGGATGATGACACTGAAATAAAAAAGGCAGTCTTTAAACGTCTAAATAAGAGACGAGATAGTTACTCTAATGTGTTAGAGCCAAGTCGCAGCTATATTATGTTTGTAACAAGAATGGGTCGGCTTGACCGGGCAAGGACCACGCTCTCACAGAATATCAAAATGAAATAGCAGCTCAATGCTGTTGTATTTCGTATGATGAGTGTAGAGAACCAGAGCCCCTTTTTACTGGAAACGAGGCATTCCATCTTAGTCCTTAGGGGTAGCAATGCATCGGGATATTCAAAACAGCCTAGAATTAATGCTGTACAAGACTAGAAATGGTTGCCTTTTGATTGTCAAATATTCGAGTTTAAACAGATGAAAAGAATACGTTGAAAGCGTATAAGTGGAAAGAGGAAGGAAGATAAGTATAGATCATATAATTAAAGCAATGAAAAGCATGAAAGCGGGTGAAGCAGCCGGGTTTCATAGAATATCTGTTATAGTTCCAATATATATGGGAAAATGGTCACAGCAGGACTATAAAAACTACCATTTGACATCTTATCATATTATGACAACGGGACGTCAAACACCTCAGCCCCCCTCCCCTGACCATGGGTGCTGTAAAGTACTCGAAACGTCGGGAAATAAAAAGTTAAATTAAACGCGATAAAATCCGTAAAAATTAGTTTCATTTAATATTCTACACTTTTAACAAGGGTTCTAAGGTTAGCTGATAATGGCTACTACCTACTATCGCTGGCACTGCCAGATGATGCTTTGGATTTTAATTAAAGATATAAAGAAATCATCATCATCATCATTACAGCCCTTCACAAGTCCACTGCTGAACATAGGCCTCCCCCAAAGAATGCCACAAAGCACGGTCCTGAGCCACCTGCATCCATCGACTTCCTGCAAATCTTACCAGGTCGTCACTCCATCTAGTGGGGGGACGCCCTACACTTCGCCTGCCGGTACGAGGCTGCCACTCGAGAACCTTTCTTCCCCATCGGTTGTCGGTTCTTCGAGCTATATGGCCGGCCCATTGCCACTTCAGCTTACTAATCCGTTGGGCTATGTCGGTCACTCTGGTTCTACTGCGGATATCCTCATTTCTGAGTTTATCACGCAGAGAAACTCCGAGCATAGCCCTCTCCATAGCTCGCTGAGCGACCTTGAGCTTCCTCAACCGGCCAGCAGTGAAGGACCACGTCTCAGTTCCGTATGTCATCACTGGCAACACGCACTGGGTGTACAGTCTCGTTTTCAAGTTTTGAGGTATACCTGACGAGAAGATGTGCCGTAATTTCCCGAACGCTGCCCAACCGAGTTGAATCCGTCGATTGACCTCTCGGTCGAAGTTGGACTTACCTAGTCGGACTATTTGTCCCAGGTAAACATACTCGTCAACAACTTCGAGCTTAGTGTTCCCAACAACTACCGGCATAGGTGTGACATGGACATTAAACATGATCTTTGTTTTGTCCATGTTCATCTTAAGACCTATCCGTTGGGAAACACTATTGAGGTCATTGAGCATAGTGCTTAGGTCCTCCAGCGATTCTGCCATAAGGACTATATCGTCGGCAAATCGAAGGTGAGTGATGTACTCGCCATTGATGTTGATACCGTATCCTTTCCAGTCCAGAAGCTTGAAAACATCTTCCAATGCAGCGGTGAAGAGTTTCGGGGATATGACGTCACCCTGTCTTACACCTCTCTGCAATTGGATAGGTTTCGTACTCTGGTTCTGTACTCGGATAGCCATCGTAGCCCTACTGTACAAGCACTTCAACACTTCGATATACCGACTGTCAACTTGGCATCGCTGAAGGGACTGCAGCACCGCCCAAATTTCGACGGAATCAAAGGCTTTCTCATAGTCCACATACGCCAGACATAGTGGCAAATTGTACTATGTCTGGTAAAGAAATACTGCAGCGAAAATAAAATTGAAATGTTTCAAATTAAAATAGCGGTAGCTGCTACTGTGCAACGTCCATCTCGGACAGATGACAATACAAATATGTAGGAGGCACGATTGTGTGTGGGCAGCCGCGCAATGATTATCACAAACATGTCCCATTCTGTGGTTGCCAATGGCCGATTGTGTATAGGCCCCATTATACTTTTTCTCGCCTAGCCTCCATCCGTCAAATTCGTACCGTGTGATAAGAAACTTCGTTCCAAAAAACAT